GGGAAACCACACTGCCAGAATATTATAAAAATTTCTCCCATTCCTTTGTATTCCTATATCACTCAGGCCCCCGCTCCTTCTCATCCATGCGGTCACCCTCGCGGCCCACAGTTATTACAGCCTTGATTTTTGCTCTTTCTCTCTTTCCGATCTCTCCGCCTTTTCGACTCCCTCGCCGTCTCGCGCCTCTTCGAAATAGAGATGATTTGTGGTGACTAAAATAAAGAGATGGGAGGGCGGGTGTCCGAATTTTATTTTTCTTAAGATTTACAGCTTGTCTGGCTGTCTGTCCGATGGTTTGTATTCATGTTTGTTTGGTTGTTTGCGTCCCGTGAGTGTGTGTGGATTTGTATTTTTGTTTGTGTGACTTTTCGTGTGTTTATGTGTATGTGTGTAGACGTGCTGTAAGCAGTGTACATATTGGTATATGTGTACACTGCTTAAAGTGTGTCAGCCTTTTCACAGTTAACAGATTTATATGCTCATTAACCCGTCCGGCACGAGCTTATAAACACCTACACACACATAAGTTTGTACGTGCGTACGCCTGTATGTATATATTGATGGATGGGTAAATGTGTAGATGGACGGATGAACATATTAAGTTATTCAATCTCATCTATACGGTTTTCTACATCTGTTACAATGAACACACACACACACACACACACACACACACACACACACACACACACACACACACACACACACACACTATATATATATATATATATATATATATATATATATATATATATATATATATATATATATATATATATATATATATATATATATACACACACACACACACACACACACACACACGCGCACATATGTATGTATATATGTAAATATCAATACATCCTCCTATATATTCCTCACTGACACACAAGTATTGCATATATGCATAATCCCTGAAAACGTGTAACGTCTCGCTTCATCCAATTAGATCTTCGTTTCTCCTCATCCCTCTTCTCATAATTTTCTTTCTTCCGTTTCAACCCTTCCATGTCTAGCTCGCCTCTTGCCCTCGCCATACACCGATTTTTCACATCAGTCTTTTCCTTGCTTCCTGCTCCCTACAGTCCCTTTCCTTACTCCTTATCGCCCTTGCCCCTCCACCCCTCCTCCCCTACCTCCTTCCTGCGCCTCCTTCGCAGGGCGCGCGCGTGGCCACTGGCGTTCCCCGGCGCTCCCCTAGAGAGCGAGGAGAGCCCGGGCTCGAGGGTTAGCGCGGCCGCCACCTCATTGCCTGCCCTTCCCAGTCGCGTCACGTTCCATCGTCACCAGGACCCCGTCAGATTGGAGAAAAGTTAGACCATAATGTGTCGTCGGTATTACACCCTCAGAACCACTCCCGCCCCTGACTAGGTGACAACTCTTTGATTATGTGCGCCACACGGCTATCTATTCCCATCCCCGATAAAAACTTTGCGCGTAGCGAGTGGCAATAGTATGATTTGTTAGTCTTGCATATGAGGAAAGGTAAAATATATTGTGTGTCGGATGGCTTGCAACAAGGCATTATGCGAGGGCGGAGGGAGCGAGGGAGCAGCGCACAGTCCTACCCGTCTCGCCGACGCTGCTATTGTCATGGAGCAGAGGCCCTGCGCCGACACCTTGCACTGCTGTGTTCCCGAGAATTACTGCCACTTTATGACGGTGTGATGCTACACTTCCTATGAAACCTTACGTTGATATTGCCATTTTTCCCCTCGAAATATGATTCTATTACCTTTGTTTACTACCTTTACAAAGGAAACTTATCCTTATACCCTCGTAAAAAATACTCGGCAGCATTCACACGTCACGGTGCTTAGAATGAATAGATAAACTGGGCATATAAAAACACTCACCTAAAATATACACATATCTAGGCGTATCGTCCCTTGGATACATACGTGCGCGTCAGCCCCTCTGCCCCCATAGGCTGCGGCGGACCTGCCTCCACACAGCATCTGACATCCTTGATCCCTCTCGCCCCCTCGCGCTCCCACCGGCATTACCAACACCTCCGTCTGGCCTTCTTCACCTTGTTCGCCTCCCCCTGCCTCGCCCCTAACTCGCCGGGATCCTGCACAAATTACCGAGGCTCTCAACCCCTCTCTCGCTTCTCCATCTCCCTTGACGTCCCTAATCCCTTCCCCTGCCCCTCGCTGACCTCGTCCTTCCTCCCCTGATTTCCCCAATCCCCTATGACGTCCCCTACATCCCACTCGTTTATTTAACCTTCTTGTCCAGCATTCTGATTTTCTTAATCCTCCCGTGACATCCTCTCTCTCTCGTGTGTCTAACCCTTGCTCTGACTTCCCTGTCATTCTAATCTCTTAATTCTCTGCGAGTTCTCTCTATCTGGTTATTCTATCTTACCACGTTTATATCATGCGGATTTCATCACTCGTCTGCGATATCATCTTCGCTCTCAATCTCGCCTATCTCGCTCTTTTTTATCTTCCACAAAATGACTACATCAAAAGAAATGATTCATTAATATTTCCCTCTATGGCATTTCATTCGGACATTGCACTCGTCTCTTCCTCGCCTCCCCAACCTCCAAAATACCCGAGCATCCAGACGAA